CTTCTGGTCTTGAGCAAAAAAAAAAAAAAAAAAAAAAAAAAGATAGCTTTGTAAAACAGAATCATGATAAACCAGAAGATGGGTTTTAGCCCTGTTCTTTTTTTGAAACATATATTTATTTATATCATATACACATGTATATAAATATACATACATATTTGCAAATATACATAAATACATGTATTTATATCTCATATATGTACATATAAGACGTGTGTGTATATATTAAAATCAAGGACATCTTAACACTTAATAGCCCTGTTCTTACCATGTCAATCCTATAGAGCCCCTTTTATGTATGGTGCTATCCCAAGATCCATTCCCAACCCCCCCACACACACACCTATACTTTCCCAGGAATTTCTGAGGGATCCCAAAGGGAGGGAAGATAATATGCTTACAGGTAAACAAACTATCAAAATATTAATAATGAGCCAAGTGTGTTGGCATCTGCCTGTAATCCCAGCACTTTAGAGGGTGAGGCAGGAGGATTGTAAATTCTAAACCAACTCAGGCAATTTAGCAAGACCCTGTCTCAAAACACAAAAGGGCTGGAGATGTAGCTCATTGTGATGGCCCTGGGTTCAACCCCTAGTAACCCCCCGAAAGAAAATATATATTTGAAAATCCATTTATTGATATATTTTGAAAGTGGGAAGTCAAAGTAAATAAGGTGAAGTGCATAAATCTGGAAAACTATTAAGATATCTTTAGAAAAGGAATGTTCAAAAGAGCAAAGGGCAGTAAAACATTAAGTCATGATGATTTCAGTATTAAGGATATTTTGGTTGGTTGGCAAGTCTTAGAAGATTTAACACAAGGGCCTGTTCGCTGTGGAGCTGGTCCCCTCCTTGTGGCTTATTTCAGCTCCTGTGTAGGTACATTTTTGTTGTAATTTATTCCACCTGTGTCTGTCAATTCCTTTCCCCTTGCCTCCTCCCGTGGCAGTGTGGCTCATATTTCTTCATAAGCTCTAAGCCAGTTATTAATAACAGTCCAGTGACTTTGTGATCCACGTGGAACATATGGTGTTTTCCACAAGACAGTGCTCATTCCCTTGACTTTGGATTTCACTCACAGAACCCGCGAAGTAAGTATTGCTTTTTTTTAAAAAAATGTAGCATTTTTAAATGTTGATGTAGGAGGAAAGTTTGACATGTCTCTTGTTTGCTTCTGATAGAAGTAGAATATTGTAGGGTAAAACATACTAAAACTGCACAGCCTCTAATTCCTGCATTTTAAAATCTCTCCCAACTTTTATAAAGCTAAGTGTGAGAGATTAATGAGTTAAAATCTTACTCTTTTCATTTCCTTTATGCTAAATAAAGGCAGGAGGAGAATAAGGGATTAATAACACTGTTCGTACATTACTTGACCAAGCCTTGTGGCTGCAGCTTGATTCTCTCATCTCCCTTTTGTTTTCTCTCCAGAGAGAATTCCAGTGACTCAGAGTGAATGTTCATATAAGGAAAGTGTATGCACTGGGAGGCATACAGCAGGCATGCACACTGGTTATTTTCCCTGTTCCGAGTTAGAGTCAGGGAGGGCACGGTCTTGCTGCTTGGGTCCACTACATCGTTGCTTTTTAACCAAAGGCTGTGTCCTTGCAGCCTTCTTTACAGCGACTGCTTCTGTGAGCCCTGCAAAGTGAGTCACTATGTTTTCTGGAAAAGGAGGATTCTGAAGACCAGAGAGGCAGATGCTTTGCTTGGTGTTCACGACCAGAGCTGAAACGTGACAATCCAATCCTTCAGGACGTACCTTGTTCCCCTGAAAATCAGTCCTGGCTGGAAAATAATCGGCCTTGGAAACTAGAGATCAAAAATGCCACCCCCTGTCCTTGCCCTGCCCGCCTTATCGAGTAGCCGCCTAGCAAGAGAATAGTGACGGCAAGTACGACGTGGATAGGGGGATTGGGGCTGGCATTTTTGATCTTTAGTTTTCAAGGCTGATTCTTTTCTGGTTAGGGCTTATTTTCAGGGGAACACAACGAATATAGCTTTCAGTATGTTTAATTCCTGAACATGAGCTTTGGGCGGCAAGGAGAACTGCATAAGGAAGGCGTTACAGAGAATTAGAAAGAGGCAGATGTGGGCCTGGACTGGAGCCCTGTTCTTTCTACTTAAAAACTGTGTGACTTTCGGCCCTGCCCAGCCTCTCTCAGCGTCAGTTCCTTCATTTGTGAAAGAGAATCAGAACCTGTTTGCAGGGCTATGGGGTTCACTTTTAATGTATGTAAGTGGCCTACGACAGTGACAGCTATTTTTATATTATTTATATAATTCCTCACTCAAATTTTTCTCAAATCCTCCTAATCATCTCTCTCATTTGTTTCAAATTCAAATCCAGGGTCTCCAATTGTGATCTTTGATGGTCAACATTGCTCTGACATATAGAGACACTGAGATTTTGCTGCTTTTAATTCCTGTCTTCATGTTAGGACAGTGTAAGTGATGCAAACGCTGGGGCTGGTAGACTGGAAGATGGTGTATCTTTAGCAATGCAGGACAGGAGGGCTGGAGCTCAGATCAGTGAGGATGAAGCACCAAAAACGATTCCCAAATGTGAGCTATTACTTGCAAAACCGTGCCTGCTGTGTGAGCATCCTAAAGTTTTTCTTTTGGTTGTGTGCCTGTGACTCCAGAGAAGAGATTCCTTTCTCATTACAGTCGACTACCTTCTGTGTGTGTGGGTAGAACAGAAAGGAGTGTGACCCTGTAACTTAGGAGATAGGAGGAGATTGTATTTTCCTCTATAAGCTTTCATTCTGAAAGGATGTATTGAATTTCTACTAGGTGCAAAACACCGTACTAGGCTAGGAAGGGGCCCAGAAGCTTTTATTATGGTAGGAAAGAGTCATTTTATGAATGACTGGTAAGAGTCAACTTGGACTTGTTCATGATGCAGTGATTTTCAGGGCTCCTCCTCGGGCTTCCCTTCTCAGTAATGACTGTGTGAGCTTAGAAGAACCTGCCTTGAAGTTCCATCTCATCTCCTTTACCTTCTCCAGATCACTGAGCACCTACTTTGTTGTAAGCCCTGTGCTAAATGCTTGAAGTTATCATTTCTTCCTGAGGGAGGTCACGGTCTTTCATTTAAACTTGAAATTATGTTCTCCAATTTAGCTATCTACTTTCTCAACTAAACTTGACCCTGAGGAAGAACATCCAGCTGGTTTCAGAAATCATAGGAGCACCTAAAAAGCATTTTAATGGCAGCAGTGAATTTTTGCAGGGGGGTTGGTGTTGCAGGGCAAATAGTTTAAAAGGTTTTGCCAAATACTTTTGAGAATTCAACAAGCCCAGAGATTCTCCGCTGTCTTCCATTCGGGCACCTCAATCTGGGAATGACATTTGTTTCGCTAGGTGAGTTCTAGAGATACAAAGCCCTACAAAGCTAACAAAGAGCCTAGCTCATTCCCATTCCTGTGTCTTCATACCGTTTGCAGCACGGCCCTTGGGTGGCCCTGCTTTCAGCCTTCCAAGGTGGCATCTACCTTAAGTGCAGTTATTAAGTCCACTCCAAGCTCCCGGCATTTCACTGGCCTTGTAAGAGTTCACTACAGTGTGGTTCATTGTGGGGGCGAGGGCTGTTGGGAAACTTTGCAGGGAGCAAGTTGATGTCTTGATATTATGAGATCTAGAATATTTAACATAAGTGAGTAATTTATGCATTTTAGGGGCAAGGCACAATCTATTTGGGTGCCTTCGCAGCTTTCAGGAGTCTTGGTAGTAGACGACTTAGAGGATGCTTTTTTTTTTTGTCAGACAGATAATGTGCCGACGTCGTAGCAAGGTTTGAGGGAGGCATGTCTCATGCGCATGGCATGAACACCCAGTCATCACACTCATGAACCGAAGGATCAGAGGATGCTTTTGTTCCTGTGTAAAGAATTCATTGTAGGGGCAGGATATGGACTGAAAGCATTTGAAACACAGCCCTTGGTGGTTTGGAAAAACCAAAACTGGACAAAGATCAACCCGGAAAGAAGGATAAGCAATGTAGCCCAAGAGATGAGGTACAGGGGCTCCTGCCAAGGCTGGAACACTGTTGTCACGCTGGAGCCTGCTGGAGATCAGGAGCGCTCAGGAGAGCTGCCAGGCAACCCAGTGTTCTGCTGCCCCCGTGTCTGAGCATCTGCCTCAACCTCCCAACGCTTCCTTCTGATTCTGCTGCTCTGTCTGCTCACGCTTTGTGGAGGTTGAGGCAGCATGCTGGGCCCTTGGCTTTCATTCTTACCAATTCCATGATACTCCAAGCCAAGGCTGTGGGCTTTGAAGCCAAGGTCTCCATCCATACCCTCAGTCATCTCCTGCTGAGGATGTGACCCCAGGCAGATTACCTCACCTCTTTGGGTTTGGCTCTCTCTGACTAAGGAAACAGTGGTTTTAATCTTCCACCCCATGAAGTTTTATGAGCCTAAAATCAAAGTGTGCGTGTGTGTGCAGGCACTTAACTGCTATGAATTTAATCCTTCCAGGCTCTTATAAGGGTGTTATTAGCTCTGCTCATCAGATGAAGCAGCATTGTAGGTTAAGTACCTTGTTCAAGGCTGCAGAGCTAATAGTGCCAGAGCCGACTCTAAAACCAGTTCCACGCGGCTCCATATGCCGTGCTCTCCACTAACTCTCTCTTGCTGACCAGCCATCTGTGAAGAAACACTTTTTTCTTTTCCGTCAAAGTTTACGTGCTCAAGTTCTTTGTCTGGTGACCTTTCCCCACCCAAACTTCTGGATGTCACTGGTGATTTACTTTATTATTGACTTTCTGGTCATACATTGGCCTGAGTCAAATGTTGGGAAGTGGTGAAGGCAGAATTTTTCCAAATAGCCAAGTCTAGGAAAACAGAATGCAATTAGTCACAAATGTGAAGAAATGGCTAAGGCGATCATGAAGCTAGCTCTAGAAAAGGGCAGCTATGTGATCTCAGACAAGTCTCTGTATTTCTGTCAAATGAGAAGTTTATAAAAGATCATGTATCATTTCTGGGGCCAACATTTCTTGAATACTTCAAGCCCTTGACTATTATTGTTTTTCTTAGCTGGAAAGAAGAAAATTGTCTTGAGTTCATGCCTTAGTCAAGAAACGAGGCACAGCAAGCTTCAGGGCTATAGTAATTTTTTTTTTTTTTGAAATATGCTGACATTTTTTATTTTAAAGAATAAAAGAAGGATAACATAATAATGGGGGGACTTAGCAAATTACAGACAAAATGGTAGGAAATTATCAATGGTTATCGTTTTACGTATTATTATCTACAAAATAGTTTCTCAGGAAAACAAATAGACAAATAATAGTGAGTTACAGACAAAAGAGGTAGGAGATTATCAAGAGTTGTTGTGCTATACTTTGGTATCTTCAAAGTGGCTTCTAAAGAAAATAAATAGAGCTATACATGAGTGACCTATTGAAAAATCATTAACTATTCTCAATGGTTGTTGTAGGAAACACATAATAATAAACATATATTATGAAATAGGATAGGAACATTACAAACTTTACACAGTTATGGATAGATTAGTAGGAAAATATCAATGGCTGCTGTAATACGTGGTGGTATCTTCAAAGTGGTTTCTCAGGAAGACAGAGATATGCAAGAAGGATCTAATAAGTAGTTACAGCCTAAGGGTTGTCAAAAATAGCATATTACCTCCTCACCAGTGACTCCTTTCACTGAGGTATGATGGCTGGAAGGAAGGCCAGGATTGAAAAGAAGGACCGAGAGACTTGCACCTGTGACTAGCAACAGGCTGTTTTCTTGTTCCTCCATAGTCATGATTACCCAGGACTCCTCAATGGAGATGATGGTCTGGCCAGAGGGAGAAGGCAGACAGGGCTATAGTAATTTAAAAGCCATAGTCTCATGTGAGCTTTCTCTCCTACCAGCTCGCGTCATTGATAAGTACATTTCTCAGATGGGTGTTAAATTCTCTTTCTGATACTATTCAGCTTTGGGCAGAATTTAGTAGCCCCTTGATTAGTTCAGTAAATGTAACATGAACTCACATATCAAAAATGTACTGTAACATATGAGATGCATTTACCATTGAATATGCTCAAATGTCCCACTAACTCCTGAACCGCTCAAAT